TTCAAATAAGTCATGGTTGTACGGCAGTGAAGCATTGGTGTTGAGCACTGATGTCATGCTGTCGTTGATGATGATGATGTATACACCGTAATCCATATTGAAGAGCGAACAATAAACAAAACAAAGACTGCAACGCAGGTGTAGTTTACATAATACTTTTCTGTGTACGTTTCTAATCGACTCAGTCATCACCGTAAATATGCCTTTTAGAGTCGTTGGGTCACTAATTCGACATATCACCGATGCGTGGGAGATGTCCTCTTCGAATTGTCTTCCATTCCCAAGCGGGATTATTCTGGACGCTCCATTTACTGCACTTTCACAAGTCATTATTGGTCAGAAGTCGATGTGGGTAAGCCTCGATCAATTTTTGTTGCAAGTTAAAAATCCTCAGGTGATTCAATAGGACCATGCCAGTTATGATAAGAAAGATGAGTAACAAACCAAATGTTCTTTCATTTTTTTTCATCGGCGGACAATCTGTATTCCTTTAAACTTCTTTTTTTCTGACTTTTTCAACCATCACTTCGTATGCTTTGTTGCACTCACTGACAGAAATTTCGGCGCTGAAACTGGCATTGTGATTGGATTATGGCACACTCATTTTTATTCGAAGTTCTAACAGTAGAAAGCTGAGTGTGTTATGACTTGCTAAATGGTGGTGCAACTCTGTATCGGTCCCTTGGCTTCCTGCTCCGCCCAATACAGCATATCAAAAGGCACCGTAGCTCTACTTAGCTCCTTATGGAGACAAAGGAAAATTATTACAACTGTATTTAAAGGGTAGTCACAGTGTTCCACAAGGTCGTGCCAGGACGTCCGTGAGGGGGCGAGAAGCGTCGAGTCCGATCAGGGCGTGCCTTCTTTTGGCCCGTGTCCTGCAGGTGACACATGTTCAAATGATGTGGTGTGTTATTAGGGACGGCTGGCCTCCGTACAGAGTGACATGGGAAAAGTACTCGATGATAATCGCACGTATGCATTCGGTGTGCTTATGGGTTTATAGTTTCGGCCAAACCGTTAGCAGTTGATAGCAGTCGTAAGTTACACTTCTCGACGTCTCTAGCCAATCATTTTGGGAAGGGCTAACGTAGGTCCCCCAAAGGAAGGCAGGACACACCAGGTCTATTCATATCCATTGTTGTATCATTCACAACTTTCCACCAACTCGTACGCCCACTGCTTGGTTCGCGCCATTTCATTTCTCATCAGTGAACTGGTAAGCTGCATAAGTACTACACGGCCGTATCACAGGACAATAGGTACAGGCCTATCAGTTCACTCTGGAATTTTGGCTTTAGACGCATACAGCAATAATACTGAGCAATACACTGAGCCATCCGCTTACACTTTCTTCAAAGCCTGCTTGGGCTAAAAAAAACAGGATGTCGTCGCGTAGTTTAACTGTTTAGCAGGGATGTTCAAACCGAAAACTGCGTTTTGGTCCTTGCTTTTAAATCAACCATGCCGTTCAAACAGGAATTGTTCTTTCGACCAGAAACAACTCCTTCGAATGTGAAGAAGCGTTAATTAAAGAATGACATCCAACAAGTGTTAACTACTGAATGGAAACTTGCGATGCAGGCGAAAAGATAGACGCCATTTGTGAGCACAAAGCACAGTCGCTTCTATGCGAGACAACTGATTTTTGAGATAAGCCTCCAAGGCGCTGACCCACGTTGTATGCGTCTGGCAGTATTGTAAGAAGCTCAGTTAGCTGAATTCGTGGCCCGGATGTTCGCTGAGGTGAACAATTTCGCTGATTCGGTCACCGTCAGTCGGTTGTCGTGAAGCGGAGTGGTTCTCTAGCAGTCCATTTGCAAGCCCAATGGATATAAGGAGCGTGGTTCAAGTTTCTCGTAAGCTCTCATATGGTTCAAGGAAGTCCAGATGTTTAAAAGCCGGGAGCGAGTTGATCAAAGAAACCAAACTGTTTGATTGAGCGTCTGGTGTGGACGTCTACGGTTGTTCGTTCCAGGCGTGCACTTCTGTGATGTTGCCTGCTACGGTGGTTTGATGGTGAAATATTAGAGTGGTTGGTCGGCGCAGTATTCATTTTAACGTCAGATCTACTTTTCTGGATGAGTTTCTATCCTGAATAGCGGTAGTTTGACACTACTTATTGTACAAAGTACTGTGTGAGCATTTATTAGACATGTAAAACCTCAGCTCGCAGTAGGATTGTGAGCTTTTCCTGACATGTGTGTTTTCGGTTTCAGTATTGTTTGTGGTGTCGGAAAAGCTTATTTCGATGGTTGATATTCTTAATTCCGCTTGGCGTCTTTACCACAATATCATTAGTATCGTAATACCGCCACTTTGTTAAGTTGCTGGGGCTGTGTCAGTGTTCAAGAATAATATCGTTTCGACTGGTGATGGTGGGGATGATGATGACGATGATGATGATGATGATGATGATGATGATGATGATGATGATGATGATGATGATGATGATGATGATGGCGATGCTGATGATGAACGGTGGACTGCGCAGGATGCCTTTGTTGCTCTTACTGATGGTGATGAGGGGAGGAAGAAAGTCAGGATTTGTTGCATCTGAATGCATCTTTCTAGTATACCCAGTAGCTGGAGAAAAAAACAGCACACAAAACCTTGTGTTACACTGTCTCACAGTTTACAGTCACATCCACATCCAGAAGCTTCACAATCGTTTTGTTCTAAGCACGCCATCCGGTAGCACAAACGATCCCAATGAGGCTTGCAGGCGTGAACTAACTCACCGCCACCTTGTCCTACCACAATGTAACAGTCAGACAGTGAGCAAATGGAGAACAGGCTATGGCAAGGGTCGTAATGGAATGGTTGGAGTGATTCTGTTAGTTACACTGTTAGTTGCACACTCGCTCCCGTGCGTAACAAATGTCCATCCCAACCACGTGTTGGCATACAGCTTCACTGATACATTTGGCTAAAATTCCCACACCTATTTGTCAGTGGGTTTCTTTGAAATCCCTGGTACTGTCACTTGTTTGGGGAGATGAGAAAACACTTGTTGTTTTCAATAGTGTAGTCTGTTCTATGCGGAAGGTGTTCCGTCGTAAGTTGTTCGGGGAAAGGTAACTTGTTTCTGGTACTTGGAGGTGGACGCCTATGAAATGCTCGTGTCGAGGTGGCTCTATATCTTCCCTTCCTTTTCCTCGTTATGCGTTTACCAGTGTTCACTACTAGTGTTGCTGTTGGTAGTGATGCTTTAATTCGCTCTCATTCGAGTTTTTTTGCACAAGTCACACTGCACTTGCTATAGGGTTCTCCGGATTCAGCCTACAGATAGGTTCTTACAGTATCAGCTGTCTGTTGGTAGAATCATGTATAATTATCAAACAGTCCGCCATTCTATGGAAAAGTGATAGTTTTTTACCACTCCCCAGATTTCTTCCCATCAGTCGTCGGTTACCACTGCCACGGTGACAGAAAACTTTATCTGGTGTTTTGTTGGTACACGACGTTCTGCTGGCAAGTCAGCCTTGAAGTTTCAGCTCGGTCACTTGGCTGCTGGACCTTTATCCATGCAGTTTTTCTCGAACGGAAGGTTACATGGGTGAGAAGTGACAATGATCCCGTGACCAGAAGTAGCATTTAGGTTGCGTCACAGATATCTCTAAGAGAGGATAAAAAATAAGGAGTGTTTAAAGTGACGCGATGCCGAGAAATGAGAACTCTCCTCTCTAGATGAAAGATTGCGATTAGTTTGCTGGAACCAAGACTCGAAATCAATCTTAGTTTCCCGCTCTCGCAGTCCTTGAAGAGCTTTCAGCAAATGAGATTATACATCAGTTCACGTTATCTGAAGCCTGTTCTACCACAGAGTTGATGCATACGCTTCCGTTCGTGCAGAGCACGGTCCAACGCGTTCGACTGTTTTGTTCCTCACTGTTTGCCTGTTCAGGGCAATGACCACAAAATCACCTCTAATATCGGATGGAAAACATGTATCCATGCAAAATTAAAACTTACAAAAGTAGCAGGTTTCCATCCATTCGAAAATCGCATTTTTTTGCTTTAGTACGAAAACGAGTAAGACTTAAGGTGGAGTGTCACACATGTCGCGTTGTTTGAACTGATGACAATTATTCATTGGGGGGCAAATAAAAGTGACTTTTCAGATAAGCAATTCATATATCCTCTACTGAGACGGTTATTAGGACCTCATGGTCCCTCTGTTCATTTCGCTTTAGATTGTGCTGTCACAACATGCTTGCGAGACATTGTATGCAGTCCAATTTACATCTTTTCAGCCTTACAGAGTCGTGCCTCCTATGCGAAAAAAGATGGTTTCAATAACCAGAAATTTGCGGATGGAATTTAACACACAGGAAAAGTGAGTTCCTTTTAACATGTGGCACGCCATTCAGATAAGCAGATTTTCTCGTAGATAGTGAGTAATGCAGGTATGTGAGCTACTGGGAGAGAATCGACTGACAGGAGCTCAATCGTAAGGGTGATAACATTGAAACCAATTGCCCTAGGGTGGTGACATTCACGCACAGGTGAAAGCGATTCACATTGGGCACCTAGACCTTGAACAAGCAAGTGGTGACCTAAATTTCGATAATTTTGTGGGATCAGGAAAACAGAACAGAGTGGAAAGACGGCCAGGAGTTTTCGCATTTTGAAAGCAACTTGCGTGAGACCTACGTGCGGATGGCTCCGGCTGCAGTACGGAGTCCAAGCACGCCATCGGCCTAAAGTAATCAGGGAGAGGCTACACACTGATGATGGATAACACAGTGAAAGCTATCAATCAGAGATCGGGAGAAAGGCTTGTACAACCCCCCGGTGGTGCTGAGTAGGTTTAAGATCTGGTTGCAGGAACCACTCCTAACTGGGATTCGAACACTGAAGCAAAGTTTGGTACCATCTACCGAGTAGTAGATCAGACAGTAAAGCCAGAGGTGATGATGAGGGTTTGACTCGAAATTTTTTATCGTTAATCGTCGGAATGTTTCAGGCCACCATTACCTTTGACAATAAAGAGCAGCGAACAATGATGATCTAATTCAATGGTCAGGCGAAACCGAGTTACTCATTAACTTGACGCTTGACTTCTTTTTCCAGTTACGTGCCATGAAATCGTTTTCTATATTCACAAACGAGGTATGACACTCCTAAGTTGTGGCTTCGCCTAGCCTAACCTACTTGGTGTTGCGTGCCTAGTACTCAGCACTGTCAGACTGACAGCCCACCTACGAGAAGAAAGTAGAGTCTATGCCCGTATTCAATGAGATTTTATTAAGCAAACCAGGTAGACAGTAGAACAAGTGGATAGATTAAGTCGTATGACATAAGGTGTGAATGGTGGGAGTGCTTCACATGAAGAGATCTTGTTGACTGCTTTTGTGCGAGTTACTGTTTCTTGACACTGACAACAAACGTTTTCTGACAAGAGAACTCAGGTCCGTATCCACTGAAAGAGCAAACCAATAAATCAATTACTGATGGATATTTTAAGTAATTTGATGGGCATGGTCAGACAGTTTTAATCTCCTGTCAACTCTTGTTGACTTTGGGACATCAGCAACAGGAAAGAGCTGTGCCCTACCCAATTGACGAATGCTCAGTCGATTTTGACGTGAATATCACTCACACGGTCGTTTCTTAGCCAGTCGATATACGTATCGCACCTAATTCAATGCACAATTTCGCACCTACCATCTACTTGATATTCCGATGACGGAGGGGTCGTCTTCGTCGCTCACAGATCGACCCGGGTGAACAAAAAGTAGCTAGGTAGTTGAGGTTTGTGACGACACTGACTGGTCAATGAGCCATCGTGAGTTCCTTGTTTTTAGGCTTAAAAACACCATAAACTGGAGATTCACCTGGGTTCCAGGTAATTGTATTTCGTTAACTTCCTGCAATTTGGAACACGTCGACGGGAATTCGGGGACTGCGCCTATCTTATAAGCCCTAAAAAGGGCGAAACTGGTCGTGGGCTGTCGAAGAGTTCTCAGCAACCTTATGAGTAATGTTTTACGTCCAATCAAAAATTGCCTGGCGCTACATGACTGAGAAGTCCTGATGGATGCCTCAGTCGATCAATACAACCAGAGTACTTATTGGGTCGTCGCCAGAGCGGTCGGGAAAACCAGTTACGTCGCTCAAGCGTGAACTCTTTCAAACGTGATAAGTTGTGTCTAGCGTATGCTAGTGGAGTAGTGGTACCACACTCACCTCACCTGTCAGGTGTCCGGAACTCAGTCTCCTGCACAGCCGAAGATGTGCACTACTGATAAGCTCTAACAAGAATGAAATTGGAGTTCAACTCTTCTCCATTTCGTTGGAATAACCGCTCCAGGACAGGAGGAAGACTGTTTAAACAAGGGTGATGCGATTTCTAGAAATCCCACAAGCAGCATGAGCCAACTATTTCCGGCTCCCAGTGATATTCCATTTGAAGACTTCCACCCTTGGTAAACTACTCAGGTCTTGGTTAGTATTAACCATGAGATGACCAAAACTGTGGCTTGCCAACTGCCAAGCTCGGCGAACAAACCAACAACCAAACAGCGCACCCGAGCTACCTATGTTCCACAACATTGCTAACAAAATATCTGATAACTGCGGTCGCTGTTTCACAATTTGAATGCAACCGATTTGCTACTAGATCATCCTTTTGGCCTAGTGTTTCGTCTGGGGTTCGATGGAGAGTCACGTGATTGCGAATCAGCTGTTTCGAATACTTCAGATGGAACCATGCTGCGTGCTTATTAAGTTCGCAGAGATTTTGTGGCAATAAGTTTTGTCACGGAAGAGATTGACAGATAGTTGTCATATTCTGCAGAGCTAACTCGCCTTTACCTCAGATCCATAGGTGATTCATGGGGAACGTATATCGAACTTGCACACAGTTTGAAAGTGGTAGAACCGACTGAACGCATCCAGATTGTATAGGCTGTAGTCCGTCTTTCAGTTAATCAAATTATTGTATACTGTTGTCCATCACTGTCGACAGGGGAGATCTGTCTTGCTTCCATGGCGTAGCGACGGGTACTAGGGCTAAGTGCTCTAGTCTCTCGGTAGGGATGGTGGCTGGTATTGGTACTGTAGACACTAGTTCGCACAGTGTCATTCGTTCAGTGTCATTCGGTCAGCACTTGCTCTTATTGAGCAACTCAAACAGATTTGTGTTTTGGCGAAGATGCTCTCCTCTGTGTCACCTGACTTGCCCATTAATTCCCATGTGAGACTCTTCAACTCATAAGTGGTTTCCGGAACAAGCCTCTTTGAACGTGTTTGTTAGAATAGGGTTGTACAACCCGAAATGCAAGTCGATCGTTAGTTTGCATTCTAACATGCTTACCTAAATCCGAAGACGTTCAGACTGTATGAATGCGTAGTTTGTCCTCGTGATTTCTCTTTTCGGAATTCGTGGCATCAGCCGTTCGCCGGAGGTCTTGTAAATAGCATGGATAATTTTTCTTGTGGCAACGTGCAATTTTTGTAATATTTTAGCGCTGACTGAGTGATCTGGATAACAGTTTTCAGGAAGAATAGTTTCCACATTGACGTTGGAAATTTCGTGAGACAACGCATGATTTATACCTGCAGTTCGTTTCAGGAGGTGACTGTTAGGAGGAGGACTGTTAGCAACATCATGGACTAAAGATTTCCAAGCCAATAGGGGGGTCGCATGGTTGTTTCCAAAAACGATTTACTCTCAGAAATATTACCCCAACTAGGCAAGCTACCTAGAAGTGCCCTTTGATTCTCAGGGGTATTATCATATAAAAGTGATACAAGCTCGAGACTGGCTTGTATCAGCAGAAGATACCAGAATTTGCATCATGAAGCAGTGAGCCTAATCTGCTCATCAGTGAAGCACAGGGTCCTCAAAATTAAAATAAAATCGAAACCCATTGTCCATTCATTGAATATACAGTACCAGGTCTCAGATTAACAAACTGCTTAACGCTTCATGCCTCAAGCTGAGAAAAATATCCATTGTTCTGGCATGAAATCTTAAGTCTTTTTCATTGTGGATAATGCCAGTAACTACCCTTTGGACTTATGAAATATTAAGCTCCTTCTTCCCAAAACCACCGTCATCAAACCTATGAGCCCGAATATGACTCATGCCTTCCGGCGCCTCATGGAAAGATGTACACTGACACGGATTTTACATCGTGGGATTGCCGGCTTGTTCGCCTTTGGGTTAACCAGTTCATTCTGAAGTAGGTGGAAAAAACCCTGGGCTCGTGATGGGACGAAATGTACCGAGTAACCATGACCCTAATGCCTTCTCACCTGAGGAATTTCGATACTGTTCTATAGAGAACATAATGACACTGATAGTGACTCAGGATGACACCAAGAAGTCTACCGTGAATCCCTAATGAAAGAAGATTTGAAAAAGTCGCCGAACTCCGCTGGCACATCTGAAAGCTACAGACACAAGGCGAGATAAGCAGGTCTTGATGTTAAAGTGCCCGTCCCAGAAACCTGGGTCAGCCAGTTGTCAGGTGTGATAGAAGTATGGGTTCCCTATAGTTTATGTTCCACCAAGGTAAATGATGACATCGATGCTGGCGTTCAACCCTATGGAACTCTCCTTGCCACGATGAGCAGACTTCCAATATTAACCAAACAAACAGAAAACGTCGGCATGAAGCCCCATGAGAAGAATCCTCGTCAAATGGAGTGGCGCTTCCTGAAGCTGCGCTAGTGGACCTCTGACTACCCCGCTCAGGTGTACATGCACTAAGTCGCCGTTACACGTCTTCATCGCACTGCTCAGCTAGTTCATTTCTTTATTATGATTATTATTATCGTCCTCCTCATCCCCCTCATCACCATCGGCCTGAATTAACTTACTTGCTACCGATGATTAACCCCCACATTTTTGGTTCATTTTCACAAGGCTAAACTCATAGATTTATGTACAATATCAAGCATAAAATATATTATGCGTATATCCTGAAATACTGTTTTATTTGCCCACATTGTGTAGAAGAAAACGACCCCGGTACGTAACCTAGATAATGCGCTTCTATGAATTACCGTATGCTGCATACAGAGGTAAGACTTAGCTTGCGAATGACTTATTGTGCAATAAATGAGTTTGCTTCAACATTTTTCAAGGGGTAATGCAACAACTAGAGTCCACGTTCAACATCTGAACTGTGAATTTTGCGGGTTTTACGGTTTGCATATGCTTAGGGGTCCTGCCTTCCGCGAGGTTGTCGTATAGGATGCAGTGTCTGGTAACTGTGTACTCTGGCTAAAATCTGGGGCTGTGCTGTCGATGATGGTGATGATGATAAGCTAGGGCTTCAGGAAACCCAGTCAGAAAATTAAGCCCTGACAGTCAACAAAGTTGACAAGTCAGATACTGTATTGAAAAGTCGTACTTAGCTTGGTTGGTTAAGTTGGGTTTTCACGATATTTGGGTGACTGATTTGAGCCAAGATTGGGGCAATTCTTTTGGCTTTCGTGTGCAGTCATGGGGGGCTATGGAACCAGAACGGTTTCTAGGTTTCAATTCATAATAAAGCAGGTCTGTTTGTACACACCATCAGATTTGATACAACTACATTATTTTTGACTTTTTCCACACCCTCGTCTCTCCACCAGTTTAACTGGATGTCCCGTCCCCCTTCTAATTCTGCACGCCAAAGATGATCCTTTGGTGCCCTATCATCTAGGTGAAAAGGTGAGTTTGTTCGCTTTTTCCTTGAACTACCAATCACCCACAACTCTTTAAGGGACGCAAACTGACTTAAAATGAAAATTCACAGGGCTAGGGAAGAACGAATGAACGTCAGATTACTCTATATGTATTGCCTGTCAACCATTCAAAAGTTCACTATGGTTAAATTTCTTTCGAATTGCAGGCGATTATTGCAATGTTCACAATAAAGGATAACAAACATGGTCGTAGAGCGTTCTAGCAGAAATACTGGTGCAGTATATTTATTAGCCAAATAAAAAATGCCATCCCAATAACACCCCAACAGTTTATTTTGCGATGGCAAAGGTTGTTTGTGAAGCACCATCAACAACGTGTTTGGCACCGAATTTATCAAACACTGCGTCTTGTGAGAGCAAAGTTCTGGTCACATTCGTCTGTGTGAGGCATTGTTCTTTTTTTATCGGTGACTGAGGTTATGGCCAACTGAAGTTTGAACCTTGTAAAGCATGTTTCGCTTCACTATCGATTCAACACTATACACTGATACGCTGACCTGATTTTGCAGGTCAGGATACATAACACATTGTCTTTTGAAAGATCAAGGAAGTTGGGAGTCGTACACAGACTACGGCCAATACTGCTCGTACTTACAGCTAAAGATTGCGCGTTAATATCCCATAGATCGAGTACAAAACCAGAACACCAGCAAGTCATCATCATCATCATCATTGTCAACTGTAATAACCGCGTACTCGTC